CGCTCTTTGATCGTATCTGCTTTGTTGACAAAGTGATGAGCCGCCTGAAAATCACCCGCCCTCAGTCTCTCAAGCAGCCATAGCTGAGCATTGCGGGCGGGTGATTTTCAGGCGGCTCATCACTTTGTCAACAAAGCAAATACGATCAAAGAGCACTCCGTGGTTCATATGGTAATCAGTAACCCCCAAAGCTCTCGGCAATGGTTCTGTCATACCATTTCTGATTAAAAACCAGAGTTTCTGTTAGAATGATTTTTCTAGAAAATAAATCAGAGAGTTTGTTGTATCGAGTATTGTTGATTGTTCTATAAAATAAATCAGAGAGTCTGTTATATTCAATATTGTTGATTATTCTATAAAATAAATCAGATTATGTTAGATTCATTTTTGGGTTTCTAACAAATAAGGAAACAATTACAAATAAATAAAAATCACCTGGATGAAAGCATTGTGATAACTCTCGAGATCGATTGGATCAAACATCGTCACCTGAAATTTCGGAAACAAATTTCATTTCATGAAATTTGATAAAAATTCTACCAACCCTAATCCTACATATTACAAACCCAAACACGAAATTTGACAATCTACAAACGCTTTACCTTAAACACACCCAAAATCCCTAAAAGAACTCAAAAGATTTTCGCCGAAACTCTCTCCCAAAATCTCTGAGCTCACGAGCCTTTTCTCTGTGTTGTGCTTGCCGTATTAATGATTCATTTGCTTACGTCTCGTTCGTTTATATTAATTTCATTGTCCGCACTTCAATAATTAGTGTCTTAGTCCAGTGGTTTCATTGCTCCTTGACCTTGCGTCGTCCTTCCTTTCTCAGGTTCGATGCCCTCCAATGTGCCCATATTTATTTTAGAATTACTTTTTTCTAATTCTTATTTTGATTAATTCTCTTATGTTTCTAAATAATTTAAATTCTTTTTAAAAAATATGATACAAGTTACAGACATTTATTGGGAAAAAACATAAGAAATAAGGGTAATATTTTATTTATTTGCAAGATAAGTGTTTCGAAATTTGCAACAACAAAATTTTTCTTTTATCAAAGAATATAAACAAATTTGTCAAAGAAAAAATCTGTATTTAGTGAAAAAGTTATTTTAGTAAGAAATAAATATGTCACAACTATTCATCAATAAATTTACCATTAACATGCCACAAAACAATTATGCTATCACATATAATAAAACTGCCATCACTAACTTTGCTTTGTAATTATGTTTGCTGTAAAACAAATCTTCCACTGAAGGGTAGAATTTTTGACAAAAAAAAATGTCTAAAACAATGTGTACAATAGGTATGTAAAATAGATAAAATAAGTCTGCTATACAAAATTTATGGCGTAACTTAATATTAGGGTATCACTGATAAAAAAAGAAGTCTACCACATAAGATAATAAATCTATCACCAATTATAAAGCTGTCACAAAAATATATGATCCTAATTAATCTATCATCACATTTTATATAAATCAGTGACATACTTGTATTATTTACAGAAATCCGTGGTAGATTTAGTACTATAGTTTTTTAAGAAATCATGTTTTTGGTGACATTTTTGTAAATTGTTGAAATGCTGGAATTTTTCATTAATGACATTTTGGTAATAATATAATTTTTTTCTCGACACAGCTTATTTAGGGTTTTCTGGCTTATTTAGGATTTTCTGGCATACATTAAAGCTTAAATTAGGGTTAATATGATAATCTTTTCTTTTATTTTTCTCCGATATTTTTCTTTAATTCGCTACGCATGGTTTATATTTATGTATTGTTTTAATATATTTTATGGGCTTAATAGTTATTTAAGTAGGTAGACAATGACATTAGTAATGCAAAAATACTATTAATATTCTCTCTTCTTTTTTCATTTTAGAATTATTTACAGAAATCTATGGTAGATTTAGTACATCAGTTTTTTAAGAAATCATATGTTATGATGGTATTTTTCTAATTTGTTGACATGCTGGAATTTTTCATTAGTAACTTTTTAGGTAATTATATTATTTTTCCCAACACAGCTTATTGATGGTTTTGTAGCATATATGTTACTGAATTAACCCCAAATTTTCTAGGCTACTCTAGTCATTAAAGTTTTAATTAGGGTTAATATAGTAATCTTTATTTTTATTTTTCCCCTAAACTTTTCTTTTAATATATTGCTAATAATAATTCATGAGTCATGAAAACCTCGAAAGTTTAGTTTATTACGACGTTACGTGAAATAAGAGAAAAAAAATGGGAAAAATGTCAAAAAAATCATGAACTTTTAAATTTGGGACGATTTAATCTTGGACTACGATGAAGACATTTAAATCATAAAGCTTTTGTTGACTTTACAATTAATTAGCAAAGTTTGTTTGACTTGCCATTTTAGACACAACGTTAAGTAGGCTAACAGACAAGGTTTACGGCGTTAAACTTCCGTTTAATTTCTCCGTTATCTAAAAACGATATCGTTTACTCTAACCGATAAAACGACGTCGTTTTGACGATTTGGGGGAAACTAAAACCTAATCCCCAAATCGATTTCGTTTTCTAACCCTAGAACATTCAATCTCTCTCTCTCTCGCTTCCCTCTGCTGAAATTCCGACTAGATTTCTTCCTTTCAATCTGCTCCAATGAGTTCAACCTCTGTCACGTTTGGTGTCGTCGGAGATCGTGGTGTTCCGTAGAAGTGTGTGTGTGGTTTAGATGTCACGATTTTCACATCAAAAACGCAAGAGAACCCGGGCCGACCTTTCTTCCGGTGTATTAGCAAACGAGATGTTAGTTCGTGGACAAGCAAAAGAGATGTAAGTTTATGTATGAATGAAATTTGTTCTTGGGTTAGATTTTTCAATGTCAGTAGCTAACAATGTGTAATTTGTTTGTGGCTTAGGGTCATTTATTCAAGTGGGCCGAAGATGCCGTGTTTGAAGAGGTAGAAGATGCTTTGCCAAGGTTAGCGATCATTGCAAATGAGGTTAGGAAAGCCAAATCAGAGGTAAATGAGTTAAAGACTATGATTCAAGAAATGAAGGAAGAAGCAATGAGCAACAAAATGGAAACCCGAAGAAACTGGTGTGGCTTGAAAGTGTGTTTTGTGTGGCTGTTTGTTATTACCATTGTGATGATTGTCTATGGGTTGTTTGATCAGGGTAAAGAGAACAAGCTTGTAGTAGGTTATTAGTGTATTGAGATTGTGTTGCAACATTTGACTTCGATAAATGCAAGTTTGGTTTAGTTCAAATTTTCATACTAAAACAATAATAAACACCAAACAAGAAAATGAAACATATTTCTAATACAAACTGAAACAAAACATGTTTCTGTTACTGGTTCTGAACCAGAACATACACAAAACATACATAATCCGTGTAAAACACACATAGGTTCTCTGACTGCATAAAGACAAACTTGAACACAAACTGCAGTTTCGACCTAATCCGAGTAAACCACAAAAAACAAACCAAAGAAACGAAACAAACTAGTTTGAACATTCAAACCATGACCCCCACCCTTGTAATCCTTGTCTCTCAGACCCTGTAGTTTCTGACCCTCCACACCACCTCCTTCCTTTTCTGTTGCCTCGACACCACCTCCTTCCTTTTCTTGTGGAACACATTCCATGGCCAATTGTCCCTCTTCAACAACTTCTTCGTTGTTCTCAACTCTTTCGCCAGCATAGCAAACCTCATCGCAATCTTCATCCCCAACGACCTCACAATCATCGCCACTAACAGCCTCACGATCTTCCTCAATGTCTCCATCGTCGTCCTTCTTCCGCTTCTTGCGATTTGATCCGGATTGACGAACAGCCTCCGCCTCATCTCCAGAAGGGATTTGAATCGGCTCAGCTTTTGTAGGATTTGGTCCGGCATTTTCCGCGGCTGCTGCTTGACTCAATCGCCGTGACCGCCGTACCGGAATTCTTCTCTTCCCCCCACGAGTTTTAGCCATCATCGAAGAGAATTTCACCAAAGAGAGGGAACGAGAGAGAGATTGGGATTCTAGGGTTAGAAAGTGAAATCGATTTGGGGATTAGGATTAAGTTTCCCCCAAATCGTCAAAACGACGTCGTTTTATTGCTTAGATTAAACGATATCGTTTTCAGATAACGAAGAAGTTAAACTGAAGTTTAACGCCATAAACCTTGTCTGTTAGCCTACATAACGATGTGTCTAAAATGGCGAGTCAAACAAACTTCGCTAATTAATTGTAAAGTCAACAAAAACTTTATGATTTAAATGTCTTCATCGTAGTCCAAGAATAAATCGTCCCAAATTTGAATGTTCATGATTTTTTTGACATTTTTTCCGAAAAAAAATGGGCCAAAGTTTTGTGTATTTATAGTATCAAGAAATGGTTTTTCTTTTTCACCTTTACCACCACTTCTTACTTCTTATGCTTCTTTTTCTATACACTTTTGTTCTATGTTTCAATTTTGTTTCACGTTTCTTTCTTCTATGTTTTTTACTTTAGTTTCATTTAGAAAAAGTTATTTCTAGTTCTTTACGTTTAGTGGTGAATGGTGATGGTTAATATAAGACATGATTGTATTAGTCTTCTTAGTTATATTAGTCTTTTTAATAGGGACAATTGGAAATAAAAATACAACTGAAATTGTTTCTAATTTTTTCATTTATACCTTTGTTATGATAATTGAAAACCTATTATGAGCTTAATTAAAATGAAAATTACAAAATAAAAATATATAATATAACTAGGATTTCACACAATCGTTTAGCTAAATTAGTGTGATTCGACATGTCTAATATTGGTGGTGTTCACAAAATAATAAAATGAAGATTTAAGCAATATTTAAAAATTGGCCTAATGATATTTTTTTTATTAGTGTTCATTCAAATCAGTCCCGCCATATAATGATACTATGACTATTAATGGTAACGTAGTCGTTAAATAGCGACTAATTTTATGACTATTATATTGAGCGACTCTCGATTTACGACTACCTTTGCAGTTAGAAATTTGTTTAGATTGTTATTAGTGTATAAAGTATTTAACGAAGAGTTACGATGAAAAGATGCAACCATAAAAAGCATTTATTGAGACAAAAAGTAAAATAAAAATAGTTTACGAAATGTTACGATAAAAACGCAAACATGTGAAAATAGAGTTATAATCAAAAGACGCGACTGTAGATATCAAATATACCAATTATTGCAACAGTTCGTCAAATAAAGTAAATTATAAAATGGTTTAAAACAAACCAAAAGTTGTAATGGTATGTAAAATAAACCAAATGTTGCAATGGTTCAACTAAACAATTGCAACAATTTATTTAAATATATTTTAGTATTCAAAATTAAATTTTTTTTTATGAAAAGTTAAATCGAGAGAGGCGGCCGTAGATATCAAATTTGACATAGGTTTCAAGTTCGTCGATTAAACTAAGGTTACAATGATTTATAAAATAAACCAAAATTACAAGTATTAGTCAAATAAATTAAATGTTGCAACACTATAATTCAATTAAACGGTTTGCAAATACATTTCATTAATTCAAAAAATATTTTATGAAAAGTTATACCGAGAAACACGATTGTAGATACCAAATATACCACATGTTGCAATGGTTACAGTGGTTCATAAAATAAACAGAAAATTACAATGGTTCGTAAGTAAACCAAATGTTGCAATAGTTCAACTAAGCGGTTACAAAATAACCTTTATGCATAAATTAAT